TTTCTGTTCCCCTGCTTGATCTTGCCGTTTGATCTCACCCAAGATGTTGACTCTGGGCCTCTGAGCCCAGCAGATTCAAAAGTACATGATTTCTTACTTTAGCTTCAAGTTCCACTAGCTATAAGCTTTCAAACTTTTAAAATATTCCTAGCTCTGTGGTTCCGAGTTTTGGAGCTCTGCTGGATCTGCTTTGCCTCGTATTCTGTGGTATGGCTGACGGGGAGCTTCACTGCATCTCCTTCTAGCCACTGTCAAGCCCCACCTCCCCTCATGTTGTTGTAATCGGATAATATTTAAAATGCTCTAACCAGGGTACATATACCCTCCCCATTCATTGTCAACAAGTTGATTCCACCTCATAGTGATCTCAGGTTCATAAAGTATTTTAGCATAGAGTTTTAGCCCTGTGGGTATAGTTTTTACATGTAAGCTGAGCTTTACTAAAAACGTTTTTGTTTAAACTACGGGGATGTTGTTAATAAAATAATAAATTTATGCTGAAACACTGCACAAACCTTTTCTAGATAATCATTTTAGTTTCACCCCTCTGACAGGGTCATCTGATGTGGTCTCCCTCTCCCTCCCCTAAGTGATGCCATTGGGCCCAACTGAGGTCTGTCACTGTTCAGTTCCAGGATAGAGAGAAAAGGGGGACGTGAGAGGAACAAACTGGGTTTTCAAAATTGAGTGGAGAAAGGGAATACTTTTTTTTTGAGTGGGCACTGTGGATTTGGGAAAACATACGTTTTAGTTAAAGCATTTGAAAAATGCCCGTCAGATGTAAAATACTAACTTTTAAAAAAATAATTTCTTTTTCTCTGCACATGAATATGTTATATTATGTATGTGAGTACTCTAAGAGATACAAATAAGAAACAAATTTAAGGATGGAAATCTTTATCCTGACTCTTGGTTTTTTAACAATTTCTGGATTTAGCAGGACTAGTTTACAGCCTTATGAGTAACCATAATACATACTGTCTGCTTAGTTTTTTTGGAGGAAAAAAAAAAGTATCCATCCTTGTGAAACAGAGTTGATGACTTTGTACCAAACTAAATAACTAAATGGACTTGCTGCTTGTTAGCTTTTTCTAACTGGACAAAAGCAAATCCCCCCCACCTCCACCATTTCCTTTTACTTCTGTTCATTGATGCAATGAAGAACAGTAAAGAAAAGACGATAGTGGTAGGATCTCTCTCATCATCCCTAGTTGGGATTAGATTACGAAGATTGTATTGACCACTGAAAGACTGAGATTGGAAGCACCAAATTCCATTTGATAGGACTATCCTGCCTAAGGAAGTATTCGTGGGTGTACAGCTGATGTTTTCATTTTAAAACTCCATAAAAGGTGGAAGAAGATGTTTTCAGAACTTGATTTAGAAGCACATTCTGATTCTCCTGTATGAAAATTGAAGATCTCTTCATGGTGTATTAGGAGGTTGGAACAGAGAGTTTCCTAAAAGATGCCCTTTATGTTTCTTTTGAGAAACAAATTTCCAAGATATCATGAACTACGTAGTGCCAGTCCCCATGAGAAACTGGAGAGCTTGACCTTAACCAGCCACCCATGTGAACTTAATTTATTTAATTTAGCATCAGGTTTAAGATCTATTTCACATTTGTAAAGTAGGATGAACTTTGCTCTTTTAGGAGTATCTGAATCTTGTTTTGGACTCTTTATTTCAGTTGAGGTTGGTAGTTGTTAAGTGCCGTCATGTCAGTTTTGACTCATAGCAGGGGTGGGGACCCTGTTTTCATAGCAGGGGTGGGGACCCTGTTTTCTGCCAAAGGCCATTTGGATATGTATGACATCATTTAATATAAATTTATGTTGCTATGAAAAAAGCTCCTAGATTTATTGAATTTTGAGTCCTGCCTGTGGGTTGCCTTGGTGCAGGACCAGACCAAATGATTTTGCAAGTTTATATGGTCCATGGACAGGACATTCCCCACTCTTGTGTATACGGTTTCTAAGGAGCATCTACTGAGTTTGAACCTCCAGCCAGCCTTATGGTTCAAACTGACCTTGTTGTTGAGTGCTTATCCTACAGTGCCACAGTTGAGAGTGGATCATTTAAAATTCTCTTTGAATCCAGGAATGGTTTTAGAGCCAAACTGAGATGATTTGAGACAGTCTGATTTCTGTTCTGGATCTGCCCTGGGGTGGACAATGCAAGTTAGGTGGGGCTGTCTAGGTAATTCTGACTCCTAGGTCTTTATTCTATGACTATTCCTTCCTCTCTCAAACATAATCCTGTTGATGGGTTCAAAATGAGGCAGACCTGTTAGGGCAGAAGGATAGTTTTTGAAACAAAATATCCTTTAAAAATTTATTATGTCTGAAAATTATTCCATAATTTTGTAGACATGGACTTAGATGCTATTACAAAACACTCCACATCACACGCCAAGCCCAATGGACTCGTTCTTCAATACGGGACAGCTGGATTTCGAACGAAGGCAGAACATCTTGACCATATCATGTTTCGCATGGGATTGTTGGCTGTCCTGAGGTCAAAGCATACAAAATCAACGATAGGAGTCATGGTAACTGCATCACACAATCCTGAGGTAATGGGCTTTGTACTCTGAAAAACAAAAGTACACTGATGAAGTACTCTGAGCATTTGAGCCATAGTACAAATTCTTATTCTAGGGATGTGCTTTCTTGTTTTTATGTGTCTTTAGATTTGGAGCAACTTTTTCTTAATAAAATGGGCATTTAGTTCATGATTCTTTAGGTTACGGAGAGGAAGAATGAGATGCTCATTATTTTTTAGAGAATGTCCATGTTGGAGAAGTAACTACATGTCCTTTCAGTATAGATAATAAAAGGGTATTATTTCTATTAAAATATAAGTGATGAAAGAGGTTCAAGGAAGGAGCTGGAAGGGAGAGAAGGGCACATATTTGAAAAGGCAACACATTTCGAATATTTTTAGGCTGATTTTCTATAGATGGGAGTAATTTCCTGTCCTGAATGAGTTACCAAACTAGAGGCTCCAGGGTTCCAAAAATGTGTTTGAGGGAGAATATTGATGAGACTTGATGGTTTTCATTTTCTGACAAGTTTATAATCAAAGTTTTTTTTATTATTATTATATAATGCATACAGTTCACTAATGTGTAGTTTCAATAATATGCTTTTCTGTGATACTAGGACATTAGATTTTTATCTGTATCGTGGAATTAGCAGCAAGTCAAAGCTATGTAGATCATTGAGTGAATGTAACCTCTGCCTTCCCAAAGAAGAAGATATTGTTTGTCCAGTTCTAAATGTGTGGTTGTGATAAATACGCAAATATCTAAATGTAAAATTGCCATAAAAAATGTAACTTGTGGGACGTGCCCCAAATTTGTTAGTTCAAGAAATATGAACTTAGTTCAAATCATTCTTAACTGTTTCCTTCATTTGGCATTAGCTGCATTTTCTTACCAGGAATTTGAGCAGAACAGAGTTGGGAGTCAGTTTTCAGCTTTTGTGCCAGCCTCTGGTTGGCCAGTATGCTCTTGGAACCACAGTATAGGGAGAAGGCTGTCTAGGAGCCCTCATTCCATTCCAGGTCTGCCAAGCCTCAGTTCATTGATACTGCAGATTTAAGAGCCAGATAGATTTTAGATATCAGCAATGACATTTATTAGCTTTATGAACATAATCGCAAATACTAAGCCTCTCTAAATCTCAGTTTTTTCTTAGTAGTGTTGATAAGTGTATCACTAGGGTCTAATGATATTATGTATATGTAAGGCCCAGTTTGGCACTTGGTTTTCAATCTGTGGTCACTCTTGAAGCTGCTTTGCCATCACTGTCCTTTGTTGGGAGGAGAAGCAGTATGAGTCCTACTTCTTCAACTTCACTCATGAATATGCACAGATTGCTTATTGCTGTTTTTCTTTTAAGGAAGACAATGGTGTGAAATTGGTGGATCCTTTGGGTGAAATGTTAGCACCTTCCTGGGAGGAACATGCTACCTGTTTAGCAAACGTTGAGGAGCAAGATATACAGAGAGTGCTGATTGACATCAGTGAGAAAGAAGCAGTGAATTTACAGCAAGATGCCTTCATAGTTATTGGTAGAGATACCAGGTAAGCATAGGTGCTAACCGCGGAAGTAAGTTTTGGAAAAGCGATATGAATGATTGGTTCCATTTTAGTAGCCAGATGAACTGAAAGCTTGGCGTAGAATTGCCCTGAGTAGGCTGAGTGGTTTCTCCATCTACCTGACTTTTCTGATAGGATGTAGGAGTAGGTCAGGCAGCTGTGTGTCACAGATGGTTAAGTGCTTGATTATCAACCCATAGGTTGACAGTTTGAACTCACCGAGTCACCTCTGAGACATGACTGGTGATCTGTTTCTGAAAGGTCACAGCTTTGTAAGCCCATATGGAACACAGTTCTGCTTTGCATACATAGGGTCACCCAGTGTTGGATAACATAATAAGAAAGGCAAACACAAGCTTACTTGTGCTTACTTACTAACTTGTAGTGAACAAGCTCCTATGGGTTTCACTATATCTCTGGAGGTAAGAAGCTTGCCTTTCTTACTGGGTATTCCTTCCTTGTCAGGGATTGTACATTTGAAAAGAGGCTTTAATTCTGTAGGAGGGGAAAGTGGGATTGAGAGAGAGACAGAAGCCGGTCACACTTAGAAGCAGAATCTTTGGTGTGGTGAAGAAATGTGAAATTGTTCACTTGCAGATTAGTAAATAAAGTAATCCTGTGTTTGTCATACTTATTGAGTAATCCAACACTGAGGCATCCATGAGTTGGAATCAACTCCATGGTAACTAACAAAAGCAACAGGAGTGAGTCACTACTGCAGGGTGGGATTTAGAATCATACTCTCAGTGAATCTAACTAACACTTAACTCTAACACATGATTTGAGTAGGTTCCGTAGCCTTTGGAAGCTTCCATTTTTTCATTTGTAAAGTATTGATGATAAGACCTATCACTGGGATTTGTGAGGATTTAATGAAATAATGTATGCAAAATACTACGTGTCATGAGGGAGGAATTTAATAAATGTCTCCTTTCTTCCTAACTTTACTAGGCTTATTTTTCTTTAGATCAGGGGTTGTTGTTAGGTGCCATCGAGTTGGTACCGACTCATAGCGACCCTGGGTACAACAGAACGAAACACTGCATGGTCCTGGGCCAACCTCACAGTTGTTGCCACGCTTGAGCCCATAGATGCTGCCACTTAGCCAATCCATCTCTCTGGGGGTCTTCCTCTTTTTCTGTGACCCTTCACCTTACCAAACATGATATCCTTCTCCAGTAACTGGTCCCTCCTGAAAATATGTCCAAAGTATGAGGGATAGAGAACCCTTTTTCTGCCAAAATTTATAACATCATTCATGGGCCATAGAAAATTATCAACTTAAAATTATCCTCCTGTATTTGGTCCTACATTTAATTAACTTACCCCTAATGTGACAGGTAGAATTGCAGTTGCCCTGGCAGGGCTAGACCAAATGATTTTTAGGACCTTGTATGGCCTGTGAGCCGGATATTTCTCACGCTTGCGCTAGAGCAAGTACACCTGACATTAACTCTTAGGGGTTTACTTTATAATATGTATTAGTGTTCAAATATTTCTTTCATTTTCCCATATTGTTCACAGTAGCAATCTGTATTATTTTCTACACATTTGTCATATTTGGTAGCTTTTGCCTTCCTTTATAAATTATTATTTTTTTAACTGAAGTGTTAGATTAAAATATCTCCCCTTTTGTATGAGATCTGGTTTATTCAGAAATTTCTAGTCAGTCTCCTTATGCTTAGAGTTTTAAAAGATCCCCTTTATTGTGTTATCAGAGTAGTCTTTTTGATACCACTGATTGCAGATTTATAGGTAGCAGAAATAGTCAAGTGACTTAGGCTCTGAAAGAAATAACTCCACTGAAAAGCCATCCCATATGTATATGGCTTTTAACCTTTTAACTGAATTAAACAATATGGAACCTCTTTTTGTAAAGGCAGTTATGTAATGTGGTTTCTATTTAGGCATGCAAATACAGGCATACCTCAGATATTGTGGGTTCCCTTCGAGACCACTGCAAATAGCAGGTACCACACTTGGTGAGCAAATCACAGGAATTGTATCCCCCAGTGCATAGAAAGGTTTTGTTTATACTATACTGTAGGCTTTTAAGTGTGCAACAGCATTATGAGAAAGTTTGACATATTGGGAGAATTCTAAAATATGACACAAAGATGTGAAGTGAGCTCCAGCTTTTGGGAAAATGGAACTGTAGACTTGCTTAATGCTGAGTTGCCACAAACGTTCAATTTGTAAAAATTACAATATCTGCAAAGCAGAGTAAAGCACAATTCAGTAAAACAAAGTATTCCTGTAGTTTGTTCAGACTGTTCAAAAAATTGGTTCTGTATTTCTTGTTGTTATTGTTAGGTGCCATTGAGTCAATTCTGACCTATAGCGACCCTGTATAGGGTTTCCAAGGAGCAGCTGGTGAGCTTGAACCACTGACCTTGCAGTTCAAATGACTTTGCAGTCTGAAGCATTAGCCCACAGAGCCACACCTGGACTCCCATGTATTTGTGGTGGTTTAGCAAAAAGGTACTGTTTGTGGCACTTCGGGTTAATGTGCTGGACTGCAAGGTCAGTAGTTCAAGCTCACCAGCAGTTCTTTGGTAACCCTATACAGGTCGCAGTGATCAAACATATCAAACGCTATACAGGTCGCAAAGACCCGACACTGTCTATGCATGGTTTAACATTTATTTTAATTGTGCTTTGACAACATGTATGTTGTTAGAGTAAAACTTGAAAGGGTGTTTTGAGATGGTGGCATTAGTATAACTTTTTATATCTATTGTCTAAATACATTTAAAAACCAAACATCTTTTCAAGAAATATATTCTGAAATGACTGGAAAATGCTTGTAATTTGCCTGTATCTTTTCAGTTTCCAGGTGCCCTGGTGGCCCAGTGATTAAAGTGTTTGCTAATCAAAAGACAGTTTTACTCTGCCCTGTGGGGTCACTGTGAGTCAGCGTTGACTGGACCTCATTGAGGTTTTCACAGTGGATAGATTTCAGTTAAAATAGAGCTGTTTGCTCAGAACAAGCAACTGCATTGGTGATTTTATTTTCTTCCTTTATTAGGCCCAGCAGTGAGAAACTTTCGCAATCTGTTATAGACGGCGTGACTGTTTTGGGAGGTCAGTTCCATGGTAAGTGGTTATCCTGAACTGTAAAAAAAAATATTTTAAAAAATTGCAACAGTAGTACTTACTTTGTTTCAAAAAGCAGATTAAAATGGTATTTGAAAAATGCCCATCAGATGTAAAATACTAACTTTTTAAAAAGAATTTCTTTCTCTCGGGACATGAATATTATGTATTATCTATGTGAATAATCTAGGAGATGTAAATAAGAAATTCTAAACTTACACATCTTTCTTTACTGAAGACAGAAACACTGAAGTAACTTGAAGATTCTCATATTTGGGAACTTTAGACAATATTGTTGTAGTTGTTGTTAAGGGCCGTCAAGTCGGTTCTGACCCATAGTGACCCTGTATTGTTAATAGCTGATGGGTGATCTGTGGAATCAGCTGTTGCCTGTTAAATAGTGATGGAAAATACTGTTTTTGTTAATCCTGGTGGTTTTCTGAAATGCAAGACAAGGGAGACTAGGATTCTCTTCTCATATCACTGTGTCTATTGCTAGGCAGCTACTCCACTGTTACGTGGTGAACATTTCCTAGTGTCACCTATTTCACATGAAAAACAAAAAAACCTCTTGACGCTTCAGACCTCTTCTCTCATTCCTGCTGTGTTCCATTCCCTCACCGTTAGTCTGACATTGTAGAAGAGCTCATTTGGATCTGTTTCTCTGTTTTCTCATCTCCTAGTCATTCCTTAGTGCACTCAGGGTCAATCCCTATCCTTATCCATTCAGTATACTCTTCTGCATTCTAATGGTCAAACCTGGGACTCAGCGATGCCCACGGACTCAGAGGCCGCCAGGCACTGTGGTCCCTTGGGATTGTTTGCAGTGGTGCTGGCACTTGCACTTTTCTAGGAAGGATACATCGTTTTGTCAGGTGACTCATAGGGGCCTCTGACCTACAAATAGCTAAAAATTCTCATTTGAAGTTTTTATTTCAGTTGACTTCCTTAAAGCTGTGTATTTTAACTACTACTTCCTTGGCCTCTATTCCTTTTTTGGGCATTGGTGCTGGTTTTTCTTCTGTATCTTTTATCATGGGCATTCTTCAGTTCTTTTTTTATATCACACAATTTCAGAATGGTTTACTGTCATACCTTCAGCTAAGTGCATCCTTTTATTAATTCATCAAACTTTTTAACTACCTGCTTTGTGCTCTGTACTTCACTGTATCACAACCAACCCATAAGAAGAAACCTAGTTACTGTCATTACAAGTATGTGTGCTCGTGTATGTTACTATGTAAAAGATTCAGTAATCAACATTTATCCATTCTACATGTCATGCTGGCATTGTGTTTCATTAAAAATGCAGAAACTCTGGTTTCCTCTTTGTGGTGTAAATAATTTAACATAAACTGAAGACTTTGGTGTTTGTCTTTGGTTCCTGAGAGAGAGAACTTCTAAAATCTTGATTTTCCCGGTTGATTGAAGTAACTTTGCTCTAAGGTCTGCAGCCCACCTCTAACCTAACAGGTTGTACTAATCATACTAATAGTGGAGTCAAGTGGAAACTGGCAAGGCCAGAAAGACACCAAGTGTTGTCAGTTGACTTCAGGGAAGAGTGAATGTGATTCAGTCCATCTTACTTGTAATGAGGTTCCAATTAAGCTCCATAATTTTCCTGGTTTGTGAAAGAAGATGCACCTTAAATCTTTCTAGACCTCTCCCTGTGCCTACTTCCATTTGTATACTTTTCATTGTAATTAAAATGTAACCATAAGTGCATGTATAATACTTCCCTTGAATTTTGAGTTGTTTTAGCTAAATATAAGGAAGTATTTTGGATCTCTTTACAGCAGTAAACATCCATTAATAATTGTAACATATAATGAATGAATGAAGTATGAATCTATGAAAATTGGAAGTTGTCATAAATGAAGTGGAACACAAACTTTGATATTCTCAGCATTAGTGAGCTGAAATGGACTGCTAGAGGCCATTTTGAATCTGCCAATCCCATGGTTTACTATGCTGGGCATGACAAATTGAAGAGGAATGGCATCCCATTCATCATCAAAAAGAACATTTCAAGATCTGTCTTGAAGGATGATGTAGCATAATATCCATGTGTCTACAAGTCCTAGTGTGGTGCTGTAGGATAAAGCACTGGCTTGCAAGGTTGGTTTAAACTGCAAGATTGATGGTTCAAACTCACCAGCTTCTCCTTGGACACCCTATGAGTAGGAACCAACTGGACAACATTTAACAACAACAAGGAAGATCGGTCAGTATAACCAGTGATAATGAAATTGAAGAATTCTACCAACTTCTTCCATCTGAAATTGGTCAAACATGCAATCACGATGTGTTGATAATTACTGGTAATTGGAATGCAAAGATTGGAAACAAAGAGGAGAGATCAGTAGTTGGAAATATGGCCTTGGTGACAGAAACAGTGCTGGAAATCACCTGATAGAATTTTAAAAGACCAATGACTTCTTCGTTGCAAATA